GGGTCATCTTGGGCAAGGGGTCAATTATCCCAAAATTTCAGCTCCCTAGCTTCCGTGGTTCCTGTACTAATAATTTTAACCGCCAAAATTTCTCGGGGTCTGGCCTGCGAGTGGGAATTGAGCAGGTCTAATTTGCCCCTCGTTTCCCTACAAATGAGAAAAGGAGGGGCATGCATCTGGGCTCGGGCAGGAGTGTGGAGCATCGGTGCTTTATGTTGCTTCTTTGCGAGATTATGTTTGCTTTTGAGTGAGAAATGTTGAAATTTCCCACTTCAGTACTGGAACTGCGGCAGATCGATTCTGAAATGCGCGAGCAAGCGCTGGAAGGTAGCCCTGCAGGAGGGCCTGCTGTGCGGGGACGTTGGAGTGTTTCCATCCGCGCCGATCAGGAAGGACGCAAGTCCGAATGCAATTCACTTCCGCGGCACAACGGCTTCTCATTCTCTAATATGTCCGGGCGCCATCTTCAAGCCTTGCTGGCTGTTTGCTAGCAGAGAATTGTTTTTAAGCCCGTGATAAGCTGGCTGCGAGGATAAGGCGGTCACGTTTCGCATTGTTCGTTGTTAGTTATTTCGATGCAGTCAGGAGGAGAGACTCGTTGATCGTCCTCTAGCATCTTTTTGCTTTGCTTCAGGAGATGCATGACGATTCCAAAGATCTTCCAGTGAAGGCTAACTGGCCGTCGAAGCACAGTAGCTTTGTGTGTGTGTTTGTGTGTGTTTATGTGTAAAGATCGGATGGTGGGCCAAGTGTAAGTGCATCGGAGGGTTTCAATGATCCGAGCGCACTGGCCGCCCACATAGCTGTCTAGAAACAGCTGGTGTGAATGTAAGTGTAGTCGCTATTTTCCAAACAAACAGCGGCTCGAGCTTACGCTATATTTGCCTACCGCTTGCTGGTAATACATCTGCTTGGGGAGCCATCATCCTTATTTCTGAGGAAGCGTTGAACGAGCCCGGGGGCAAGAAGAGGGTGGGGCAACACAGGAATCATACAAAGTGCTCAAAACAGTAGGAATCGTGGTCAGCACAGTCTGGAAGAAGCGACCGGTAGCATTCGCTGTAGTGCGTTTAATCAACTACCGGCGGCGCAGCTCTGCACTGCTGCAGCGTATCCTGAAGAAATTCATAGCGACACTACTCATCCGTTCCCTGTTCTATGCTGATTTATGCAAAAAACGTATTATTGAGAGATATATTGTATATGTGTGTGTGTGTTTGTGTGTGTGTGTGTGTATGTATGTATGTACGTTTTTGTGTGTGCATGTATGTGCGCGTTGCGTGTGTATATTTCTGTGTGTGTGTGTGTGTGTGTGTTGGTCATCCTGACAGTTTAGCTTCAGGGCTCGAATAAGCTGAGTTTTACAAACGTAACCCTCAATCGCATACGGCCATCGAATTACTTCAACCTACATTTCGTTTCCCGTGTGCTGTGACTATATAACTGCAGATAATCAAAATGCGAGAACAAGTGATGCTACAAACGAAAAATTCGACTGACCAAGCCGTACAAAAGCTGGACAACATGAAGTTACCTGCCTAGCCCTACAGTAATTCATGGCCTCGGAAACAATTTGCAAAATGGGGTGAGGTGCAAAATTTTCATGTCCAAATATTCCGCACACTGCGAGGTAAAAAGCCTTGAATTAACTTCGCAGCATCTTCTAGCTTATGGCTCAGATGCATTTCCGGGCTTATTTCACGGACTGTGGTTAACCGAACAGCAAGTCTAAATAGTCTAAGACCAGTTCCCAGACATTGCTGTATTTTGACCACTGAATTCAAGTCCGCTGAAACTATTTTTATTAATTCGGAATCAGGCAAGCTACCTATCAAAATTTTATGCTTTGGCTCCGGTGCAATTGCGAGCTGAATGACTCGAAATCAGTTTTCAAAAGCGCAGGCCATAGTTCCAGAAAACGCAAACTACGAGTCCAGTTTTTGGTATTTTTTATGCAATTAATTGGTCGGAAAAGCACAAGTATAACCAACTGCTTCATGTACATTTTGGCGCATTTAGCAAGCATGCGCTCTAAGCAGCTTCACTGCGAAAACTTCTAACAGCTCCGACCTCTTTTCCCTCGTTATGTGTAATGTTTTTTGGCACTGTTCCTCTGCACCTTCTATAAACGCAAACGAGCTGTGTAGTTTGAGACAACAGTTCTTCCTCTGTTATCCGCAGAGGTAGAAAAGGGAAATATTCCTTTCATAGCGAGAGCGATGATTCCTGCTGTAATTT